ATTTTTTTTTTTTTATTTATTTTTGCACACATATGTGGGAGTAGTTTACGACATTTGTACCATTTATTTATTTTAAAATATGGATATAAGTTATTTTATTGGTACACATTTTATGCATTTTCAAAGGTTTCTCTTGAATACAGTTAAACATTTACGTGGTTGCATATGTTATTATTACATTTTATACTGTATTGCGTTGAGCTACACACCCCACTATATGGTGCTATATTTAGTTCATTGAACATCATTCTTGAAAATTTCCCCCTTTGCCCTAATTTTTTTTTTTCTTTTTTTAATTCATTTTATTTCCTTGCCCCATTTTTACTTTTCTCCTTCCTGTTAACATTTTTGGGATAATTAATGAACCGTATACATAATACGTATGCATATTTATATATGTGTGTGCGGACTACAAATTGTATTTAGTTCAAATAATTAAAGATTGCCATATTAATAAGACAAAAAAAAAAAAAAAAAAAAGAAAGAAAAAAGCTCATATTCTACATTTGTTTGTATGCCCATGCAATATGAACCCCGAATGTTTCATATTATAAATGAACAAACATTCTAATACTAAGACGTTATACACATACAACAGTACCTACATGCAGGTATGAACCACAGGGGGACTCACTTTTTCAATGAAAACTACTTAAAGTGTGTCATATGGAACATTAAAGGTACATTGTAGGTAGCGCCTCCTGGCTAGCCAAAAAAGGAAAAAACAAAAAAAAAATTAAGATAAAATTATGAACAGGTCATGCAAAGATGAGAGAAAGTCCGAATTTTTATTTTTTTCTTTTCTCGCCTGGAGTTACATTTAGTTCACAGAAATGTTTAGAAAAAAGAAAAGCTGTTATCTGGGCTTCTATGTGCGTAAGCTTTCTCGTAGGAACGATCTTACAAGGTTAACGGGATAAGGTCACATCCAATTCCTGTGCCATTTTAACACATTTGCTCAGTATTCCCTTTTGCATAGTGAACTTACAACTGTTGTGCAAATGTGAGAGAATGCCCATTCACATGTTGCACTTTTTAAAAATGGTGAAAACTATGTGCGATGTGAAAAATAAAAACTGTCCTTTATTTTAATTTTTTTTTTTTTTTTGCGTTACGTACGCATAGGCGTGGTTTCGCCAAATGAGGGAATTTTTAAAGTCCCCCATTTTGCCTTTAAATAGTCAATGGTGTATCCCCCTCACCATACACATTACGCGTTAACATTTTTAAAAACGCAACAACAATTTTGTACGTCTGAAGCTCGCTTCGCTGCAGCTGAACCATGAAAAAAGGGGATTCCCTTATTTGTAAACCGCAACAGTGAACGGTTAACGCAGAGCGGTATATTGTGTGAAGAAATATACTTACCGTAAACCCATTTAAACACCACGGAAAATAAAGTGATACGGAAAAAAATGCGCAAAACATTTTAACAACATAGGGGAGGAAAGGCGAAGCGTTCCTGTTCCCTGTATGTAATTCCCATTTGAATGTTTTTTTATTTTACTATTGGACGTTATTTAAATTGCCTTTGCGATAAATGCCTCGAGGGAGTCACAAGGGAGGTCTATTCCCTGTTAGTGGAATGAAATGGGGCATGAATGAGCGAATCAGAAAGAGGGGATTATATCACAATAGAAGAGAAGATATATTAACCCCAAGATGGGGATATCGATATGAAAATAGGAACAAGAGCTATTTACCAGATGGCAGCTCCAAGTCGTTTGATATGGACGTAAACAGAGCTTGGCCAGCTGAAAAAAAGCAATGGAATTATTTTTACACAATTAATGAAGCCAGGTATTTATGGCCAAGCATATGTGCACACAACCCTAACATCAAAAATTACATTTTGAACATGCTGGAGAATAGTGAAAACAGACCCTTCAGTGGCATTGGACTGGAAGAAGTCCAGAATGAACGCAGACGGAGTAGTAGAAGTGATATCCCCGTTGGTAGTACTTCCTCCAGTAATAACCAGAATAGCGGAGTGTACGGGAAAAACACCTATTTGAGCAAGCTAGCCAACGAATTTAACAACTCTATCTACCCCCAAATCGAAGTTAACCTAAGTAATAACCTGAAACGGGAGCGAATACAAAAGTTGTACGACATTGTGCGGGAAGAAAATATATGGAAAACCATGCAAAAGATAAAAACTGCACAGAGTGAAAATATATTTCCCTATGTGGATGATAACGCAACCTTGATTAGAGAATTGCCTCTGGCAGAGATCTTATACACCAAAAGTAACTTGCGCTTGAAGGTTAGGAGACACCCCAAATGGATGAATGTGCAGTTTTTGAAGAAGAAAATAAAAATCCCCTACCTGTACAGGTACTTTTTTGGAGAGCGTCACCGTGTGCGCACCTTCGCTGATTGGGTTTCTTCCCTCGGGGTTCGCCCGACCGGCGCGGCTCCGTCGATTAGTGAGGGTTTGGTGTGTGCGCGATGGACACGTTTACAACCGTTTGCATTATCCCTCCTAATGGGGATAAATTCGTCCCGTGTTTACAATCTGCCATACCACACGCTTTCTCCCCTTTCTGCAGGCGAAGAATCGCAAGGGAAGAATTACAAAAAAAGGAGTTTGGCTCATTTTTTTAAATCTGTGAGCAGGAAGAACTACTTGAACGACAACAAAAACAGAAAAAAAAAAGGAAGAAAAAGTAAAAACAAAGAAAGTGTAACGTATGCCATTATTGTACGTGTTCATTCAAGTTGGTTACAGGGTGGATCGAGGCAGAGCAGAAAGGGGACTAATCCTTTTTAAGTTCTTGGAGTATCATTTTAGCGCGATTTCTACGGAAGGGTGAAAAGAGCGGGTGTGAGACGGCGCACCAAAGACGACACGGTTAGATTACATGTACAAAATGCACATGTTAAACGGTTCGTAGTGTTTATTATTATTATTTTTTTTTCCTAGTGGTACCTTCTACAGTCCTGTATGGTCTTGGTGTCTTTTGCCTCAGTCACAGGTTCCTCCTTGGTATTGCCCTCAGTAGCTTTCTCATGGGCCAGATTCATCTCATCCATGAGGAATACAAGACTTAGAAAATCTGCAGACTGGTGAAGGAACAGGAGATATTTATTGTAGCTGTTTTGGTGTAATTTTTTGTTGAGTGCAAAATGCGTCTACGAAAAGTACTGTAACTGTTGGGAATGAGCCCTTGGTGGAGCAGTCGCCAGGAATTATTCTTTCCCTGAAAGTAAAAAAGGAAGATATATTGGCACGGTGGCAAGTTGGCATGTTGATATACGAGCAAGGGGTTAAAGCAGTATAGGCGTGCTCCACTAGAAAAAATATTAACCACTGCAATGTTGATACCACTCTATTCTGTTCAACGAGGTGATGGCGCCGGTCGGAAGCAACAGCGACGTGCGCTCCGCGAGGAATCTTACGAGAAGTATGCATATTCTTTGGAACCGTATTGTAGGTACTTTAGTTTTTGTATACAGCGCATGAGAAGTCGGGCGAAGTAGATGGGGAGTTCCTTCTTGGAGTGAAGAATTTGGTTAATCAGATTGTCCATTTCCTGAAGAGGGATGGAATAAAGCAGTACGAGCAGGGGGTGATAAGCGGTTGCGAGTTTTAAACAAAAAGGTGCAATATGAAATGTCAGTGCATTCCTGGTGGTAGTTTATTTATTTATTTTTTTTTCAAATGAACGTGTATTACGAGTAGGTCTTCATTCCCAATCGGTTTTTCCTGCTCGATGTTTTTTGCTTCCGTCTCTTCATCCGATTCCATGTACTTCATAAAAAGTGAAGAGTAGGACTGATCCTCTGTTTGTTTTTTTTTTCGTTTTTCCCTTTCGGCAAGTTTAACCTTGTTATCATTTGCATCCTTCATACTAATTTTTTGTTTTTCCCTTAGCATGTTGTCTTTGACCTCATTGCTAGTGACTTTATCTTTTTCAACATGGCGCATATGTGCAAACAGATCACGTAAAGCCATGGGAATGGAATTTGGGTAGTCGTCAATTAGCCTCCTGTTTGTATTTTCCTTAACGAGTTCGTAGTACCTATGCAGCGGATGGTCTACATGCAAAAAAGGGAAGTTTATCAGTACATCATTGTTTAGCTTGAGGTAGAACTCCGCGATGTCGCCGTCCTGAAAAAAGGAAGGGATAATGTTGTGGTGGTATGTTTGTGTGTGTGTGTGGGGGAAAGGGGCATAAAATGAATGACCATTAGAGATGCATCTTTGTATGAACATGTTCTTGTAGAGTTCAGCCGTACCGAGAACTATCCTTACATATGCGAATAAATGTACACACACATGGAAGAACACACCCCTTACCGAATTTGCAAACATAGCCGTGTACTCGATAATCATGTGTTCACGCAAACTTTTTGGAAAATAAATGTTCTGATTATTCCTTGGAAGGTACGAAGCGAATATGTCTTGCTCGTTTGGGTCCACATAGTCGTCGCCATTTGTGTTCGACGTGTCTTTGGTCTGGAAATGGAGTGTAAAGTAGATGACAACGGTTTATAAAAAAAAGGAAACAAGTTCTCTCTCTGTATTATTATATTATATCCCCACATTTTTTTCTTTTGCTCATTGCATGGTGTACAAAAATGGCTTATTATGCCACTTTGCTTTATCGTACTGCTTGAAGGAATAGGTGTAAAATCCATTTTGGGCTTCACAAATGGGGGGAGTTCCACTGGAGGGCAATCCCTGCGCAGGTGTGTGTGCGCTTCTATGCCAGCATAATGCCGTGAATATTTGCTACACTTACAACCCTAGCAAGGTAAGCCGCTCTCTTTTTTTTGCTGTGTTTTTCTCCTCACTTACGTTCAGATAATTTAAAGCGTCTGGGGGGGGTTCAGTCGTGAAGTACCTCCTCTTCTTCATGGTTGCTTCCTAAGCGCGGACACGTGAGCCAAATTGGAGAAGCTAAGCAATTTAAGCTGTGTACAATATTGGCATACTGTAGTAGCAAAAAGGTGTATCCTTTTTTTCTTTCTCTCCATTTAGGTTCATTCGTGTGATGGGAAAAATTAAAATTTGCCCAATGATGCAGAAATCTGCTTAATTCGCAGGGGAATTGTTAATTTCATTTTGCGTTGAATTTTTTTTTTTTTTAGTGATACAAATGGGGAAAAAAAAAAAAAGAAATAGAAAGTAGTTACTGCTTTGCCTCAAAATTGTAATTACACGAATCTACAAAGTCGACTTTTTTTTTTCTTTTTTTCAGAAGGGAATTCTTTCAAAACAATTTTGTCACAGGAGGGATCGAATGCACACCTGTCCGCTACTTCGCCATGTCTGCTGGTCTTTGCTTGTTCACATATGTTTGTACAATTGGAGGTGGAAAAAAAATAAAAAATAGTTCTATTTGTCGCTTGAGTATTTTTTGCGCACAGTGGCACAATAATGTTTGAACGGAGAGTTGCTTTATTTTCGACCAACTCATCGAGGGTCCACTATCCATTTTTTTTTTTTTTTTTTTTTTTTTTTTTTACAACCCCTGATTGCAAATGTGCCCCTTTTGGACTAGGCCCCATTTTGTATGTACACCGGTGTGCAAATCAGCTTTGCGTGAATTGTGCAAATGGGGAAAATAAAACAAACTATTTCATACTGTACCATGCATAACAATGCATACAATTAAAACTGCTTCATCCACTTCGTCCGATTCGTTTGGGGGATTTGCTCTGGACATACGCACATAAGCATGTGTAAAGATGTGCATACAAGCGTTCATTGTTTTGTTCGCTCCCGCTGTTTTGTCCACCCGCTGTCCAATTTGACTCATTTCACCCCAATTCACTTGGTTTTACCCCATTTGTCTTTCCACAACAACAGCCAATTTTTCAAATTTTTTTAGCAAAATGAGGCAGCCCTGTTTGCTCTTTTTATCCTTTTTTGTCTTTTCATTTTTTAATTTTTCGGATTGCATGCTGCCGTGGACGAAGAAGAGAAAGGCGGGTAAATGAAATATGTGGACCTTCAACGTGGGGAGGTTTACCGCGTCCTACAGACAGTCCAAGCTGCAATGGGGACAAATGGCGCAAATTAAATTATATTTAACGAGTTATATCATTTTATAAAAACAGCAACTATTGGCTCCCCCCGTGCAAGCTGCTTGACTGCAGACAGGCTGATGCGCGCATAACACGAGTAGAACAATGCAGTGTTTTTTTTTTTTTTTTTTTTTTTTTTTTTTTTTTTTTAGTGAACCAAATGGGCATCATAAAAGGTGTGGCGCTAACTTGACTGCTTCAATTCAGTGCTCGTGTGTGCTTTGTCAGGTGACACTGAGCAAAAGCTCAATATAAGGTTATCCATCCCATGTTCATCATGTTACTGTCCTTCCTAAAGATATGTCGCAGGAGCTTAGGACTAAGGCCGAACAGCTTCCAACCCCGGAGGACATAGTATGCCACGAAATTTGTTCTTTTCCCTTTTTCCCCAAACTGATACTTTAGCATCTCAATCCAAATGCTTAGAAATTGCTATGTGTTTAATGTTGCCCTCCTTTTCTCATTCTTTAACAAAAAAAAAAAAACTTTTTTATTTTTAGTCAGCCAAAATTCACAGGTAAAGAAGTTGATACAATATGCCCCGTTTCCCCGTGTCTGCGCGAAGAGCCGCAAAAAAAAAAACAGAACGTTCTATATATAGGAGGAGCATCGGATTGAGCGTCCGTCCAATGTTTATTTTTGGGCACCAGTTCATTCCAGGAGGCCTTTTTGCCACGCCTTTACAACACTTGGCTCCCCCCTATACACACACCAGAGTAGATAAAGAGGTCATCGAAAAGTTAAACAAAGACATCATAGAGGAGGAAAATTTAGACAAGCACAAACCGCACGTCTGTCAGGAGCCACCATATGAGAGGGACTATTCGTACTTATGTCCCGAAGGTGAGAAGGGGAACAGGGCACAGCTAGCCATTCTGTTATGCTTTACTGCTGCTCAGGCGATTTGGCTTCAACATAAAAGTGGGCAAAGTTATGAGTCACACTGTGTATTAGCCCGATTTGGGCTGTCAAAATTTGTACAATTTTTTTTTTTTTTTTTTCGCCCCCATTATGCCCCCCTCGCTATGGTTCTTTCTCAGACTGGGTAATGAACTCCCAAAATCAGTGCTGGTAAGTGGAGGGGGGTTAAACATACACATGTGCACCCACCACGTAGGCATATACACCCACATGCACCACGCGGCGGCGCTATTCATCGCAGGGGCATAGACTATGATGGTCACTGTGAGTCGTTAAAGTATTTCCAAGATTATTCTGCAGTGGAGAAAAAAGAATTTGTAAGGCTACATCTGTATTGGTGGTGGTGGCGTGAGAGATTTGAGATTGTATCTTCTCCCACTTTTGTGCCGTCTGAAAAATGTTACTGGGGCACTTACTAATTGGTTGACATTTTTCCTCATCACATCCCACAGGAGATGAACTGCTGCGTCTTGTGGCCTAAGCTAAAAAATGAAGGCATGAGAAGAGCGCAGAAGAAGGACCTCTTAAGGGGATCGGTTAATCCTTTTAACTAATTAAACAGAACCCAATGGTGTTCCATTTGTTGTTCTGCTTTCTCAACTAATTGGTGCGCTCATCATATCATACGAATGTCACTGCACTGTGTCTTTTTTTTTTTTTTTTTTTTTTTGCAGATAAGTTCAAACAATGGGTTAATAATAAAACCCAAATATTTGTAAAGCAGGAGGGAAGACACACATGCAAAGGCAGATCCAACGCGCATAAGTTCGTGAGGGGTAACCTCGTCCAAAGGGAAGAAGAGAACGAACGAGCTAAGGGGACTAGCTATCTAATTGTTTATGTGTATACCATGTCACTGATTTAAAAGGTGGGGAAGGGCGTTACCCATCCCGCTTAACCTTTTAACGAGAACACTTTGTAGCAACTTTAATTTGTTTGTTTTTTTTTTTTTTTACACCTTCGGGGGGAAAATCAGCGCAGAAATTTTCCTTCTGCATTGCGTCACGGACGCGAAGATATCAATCGGTTGGTTAAAACAAAAGTTGTTAAGCTTATGTGACCCGTTTGCGGTTGCCCTGTTGTGAGAACGTCCTTCCACCATATTGGAAATGCGTTCATGCGTAAAGGTAGCTAATCACAAATGTAGTTCATCACAAATGTAGTTCATCACAAATGTAGTCGATCACAAATGAAGGACATCCTCCTGTTCGCCCAAGCTTGACCACACAAAGGTTTACACATCCAAACTTGCGAAGAGTACCCCAGGAAGGCGCGACACGAAAGCTGCCGTAGGGGGAAAAGTTGGAGAAAACACAAAAAAATGATAAAAAAAAAAAAAAAAAGAAAAAAGAACAAAAACTACTTTTGCGAGAAAAATCTGCATTTTGCTCGATACCCATACACGTTCGGTCTAGTTAAAATTGAGCTTAAGGTTGACCTTGGGTTGGAACTTGAAGAAGGGCACCTTATAGCCCTGCTGCTGCACCTCGGGGGTGTCCCTGTCATTGAGCAACCCAAAGACGAAGGTGAGCATGCCCAAGTCGTAAATAAAGTAGCTCTGCAAATTTCCATATCCACTTTTCCTAATGAGTGAAGTTAGGGTTAAGTTAAAATTAAGGGAAGGGTTAATCCACTTGTTTTTCTTGGACAATCCCTGTTGTGCCATTTTTTTTTTCTCAAATAATTTCTTTAAAGGGCTCTGATTTAACTGGAAATAATTGTGTAGTGTCTGTTCAAGCTTTTCACCAAACTGTTCTTCAAATTGTGTAATTATGGAGGTGCTAAAAATATCATTTGGTTGATTAAAATATCCGGCTGGAATTAATTTATTAACTTCTTGCTTGAATGTGTTAACTAGCGATTTTTTTAATTCTGCAATTTTTTCATCCTTGTTCTCGAGTAAATTTTTGTCCCTCTTAACATGTTGCTCATTTAAAATGGCATCTCTCCCCTTGTTAATAATTTCCTTTTCAATGAGGACGATCTGCTTAACTATTTGTTTACGTATCAGAGCCAAAAAGCGTTGCTGCAATTTTTCGAAAACGGTGTCTTTAAATTTGGTGCCCACTTGTTCAAAAGTTAATATGTGAAAAAAGAGCAGCAAATTTTTTATCAAGTCGGAAGCAAGCTGACCATAGTTTGGAATGACTTTTCCCTGTGTTATTTCCTGTTCGTACTCGTTAATTATTTCATCAAAATTGTTTAGCGTCTTATTGTATGACTCTTCAATTACGTAAATATTGTACACACATTTCTCATTAAAGGGGCAAAAATTTTCAAAATTTTTCATCTCTTTTACCAGATTTGTTAGCTTATTCACGAAAAAGGTGTATTTATTTATGTTGTTTTTTTGCAAAAGGGAAATATCGACTTTGTTCTGTTTCATTAAGTGAATATTCTTCAAATTAGGATATGTTTCTTTTAATTCCTTGTTGAATTGTTCACATAGTATATCCTTATCAAAGATTTTTTTTTTTCTTCCCCACCCACTGGCTTCGGCATTTATTAACACAAAATAGACATGTATATCTGTCCCCTTTTCATTTAATTGATTTAAAAATATTTCCACCTTTTTTGGTAAAACAAAGGTAACTGTTTTTTTTTTTTCCTGTTGTTGTTCGCTGTCTTTTACAGAATGGGTTTTCTGTTCCGTTGAGTTTTTCTCTTCCCCTTTGTTGTGAACTTGGCTGTAGTGTATGTCGTCACTGGCCAATGGCACAATGACGCTGTTGGTTGACTCAACAATAAAGTTGATTAATTTGTTAAAGTCATATATGGTTGTCTCATTCTCCTCGTAAAATTCCTTGTTCTGTAGCAAGTCCACATCCAGCACCACGTTCAAGTTGTTATTTTGGTCCTTCCCAAACCATACGTCAATTTTTTGTTTAAATCCCAAATTGATCAAATTGTTTCTTTCAGGGGATACGTTGAATAAATTTTCCAAAAATTTTCTTTTATGGTACCCTGAACTTCCATAGCAGGAGAAAATATATTTATTTTTAATTGGCGCATTTTTCTCTTGTATGCTGTATTTTTTCAGTTCTCTTATTTTGTCCGTGTAGTCCTTGCTGGACAGCAGGTTGATGTATTCATATTTTTTTGTCGACTTGGCCTGGAAATACTGTGCGTAAAGGAGAACCAGGGACAATATGACTACAACGGCGCTTACCATTGCAGAGTTCGCGCGCCTGAGCGGCGGCGTGTTCCCTTTACAAACCGCTATAAAGGCGTGTGCACATGGAGCACAAATAGGTACGTGTATATGTGTATCGCCGAGAAGGGCGCTGTATGTTGGCTAAACTGTTCATGAATTGCTGCTACCTGCAGCTAACGGCTGTTAATTGCCGGATAATATGTATTTTGTTTCCACTCGGCAAAATCTGGCAGTCGCAAATTGCCGCAAATCATTTCGACGCCAAAACTGCAGCGATGAATGCTCCTCCGCGCTGCTCGTGGCTGCATTATACGAGCTGTGTTTTCGTTGCAAAATTGTGTGTTCCTTTTTGCGGCAATTTGTTGTGCATCTTTTTGCGGTAAATTTTGATACTCCGTTTTGCGGCAAATTCTGATATTTCTTTTTGCGGCAAATTCTGATATTTCTTTTTGCGGATACTTTTGGTGCACCTTTTTTTTTTTTGTTACTTTGCTTCTTTCCGCCACCCGCAAATTATTCATACGGAGGAGAGCGGCTGAAGCGTCGCAGTAAGACCATGCTGAGAAAAGGGCCTCTACATGTTGTTGAGCGTCCAAACGGGAATGGCCACGCATTTGCGAGCCTATTTAAATGTACATACTTAAGCACTAACGTTTGTTCGCTTATTTGAACATGTGCAAATCTGTAGATGTATTGCATCTCCCTCCAACTGAGGCATAAGAAAATTATACCGCAGGACATGCGGCACAACGGCTCTCACCGGCTTCCGCTTTCAAATGCGGACCAGGTGCCAAAGAAATGGGGTTCACAAGTAGACATATACATGTTGTAAAATTGTTCCCCTTTACATAAACAGCAACTGGATAATTAGCGCAGCTGGCATGGTACAATAAAGGTGCAGGTATTTGTCTCCATGTCGCGGTTTTTACTTGTAAGGGCTGCACACATAATTGTTTTTTTTTTGTTAAGCGTAATTTTTAAAATTCTTCACACGTTGAAGTGGTAGGAGCCTTTGGTGATGGGCGCCTCAAACGCGTGGCTTAGTATAACAGGTTAATGAACTCTCCAGGGAATGTGAAATAAGTGTATATTTTTCTCTACAAAGAACGAGTCCCCTATATGTCAACAGCAGAAAAGACATAAATTTTTGCTGCTTCCTTTGAGTTCCATTTGAGTAAACACTGAACATTTCTTTTACGCCTACATTATTTCATTGCGTTTTGTTTTTGGAGAGAATAGCAAAAATTGTTATCTGTAAACAACCGCTCGTGAAAAAATTGGACGTAGCCAATGTTCCCAATCCATACAAATTCAATTCCTCCCTGTAGTAATAAAAGAAATAAGAAAAAAAAAAAAAACCTTTCAAATTAATCCAATTTTCCCTTTTTAAAAGGAACAAGTGTATTGAACAGTGCGGCATTTACAAGACTGACCCATATGTCAAGCAAATGGCATATGTGCAAATTGCAGCACTCCATATTTGAATGACCATTGCATATACCACTTAAGGGGCACATTTACAAATATTTACCTCAAAATGGGGAACAATTCGCGAGTGTATGTCCATCTATAGTAATAATACAGAATTGCATAAAATTGGAGCTCTCATCAATATAGAAGAAATGAGGGAAAAAATAAAGTGGCACATATTTATTGTGACAATAAAATGTACACTTCGACATAGCACCATTTTGTAAAAAAAAAAAAAAAAAAAAAAATCTAGCGAAAAACAAAAGTGAACAGCTCACCGGAATAGTTTGCAATTGGAAGGGAATGTCACACGTATGAAATGCCATTCTTTTTTCTTAAAAAATGTGTCCTCTTTTTTAGCACATTTTGAATGGACATTTTACGCAAAAGGAAAAGCAGATTCCCTATTTTTTAAGTTTAGGAAGACCTGGCGCGTATGTACTGTATGCGTGTGAGCGCCATGCGTGCCAAAAGAATAATCAAAAAAAATGAACTGACGGACGAACGAACAAATAAATAAATGTACACATGTGCATATTTCCTTGATCGCCTGTGCATGTGTTACCTGTACATATATACTGCTTTAGCTTTACGCGCGTACGGACGTGTAAGAGCCCAGAAATAACCCCCCACAATGCCGAAAGTGTCCGTGAAAAAAATTCATGCAGTTGCCAAGTGGAAGTGGATTGGATCATCTGTAGACAGTGTGTGTGCAATTTGCAATAATGCCTTGGAAAATACTTGTACGAACTGCATTAGGCCAGGAAATAGCTGCCCTCCTGCGTTCGGAAAGTGCGGTCATCATTTCCACCTGCACTGCATGGAAAAGTGGATGCGGCAAAATAAATTTACGTGTCCATGTTGTAGGGCAGACTGGTATTACGAAACGCAAGAATTAAACTGACTAATGGGGGAGACGCAGCAAGAAGAGGAGGCTGAGTATTCCAATTTCCTTGTCACCGCGGTAGCGAGCCTCGGCTGTTGACGTAAGATCACCGTTTTAATTGCATTCACATGTGTAGGAATGCATTTTTGCACTCACATTTTACGCAACAGTTATAATTGTGAATTCAATTTTCTTATACCGTTTTTTAGTTTTTTTTTTTTTTTTACCTTCCGTTCGAAACTTTTATGTATGAACTGCTGCGTACACCTGTGGACATTTTCCCCTTTTTATGTATCTTCTTTACCCCGGGCGAGATAAAAAAGTATAAAACGTGTCAACTACAAATTTGCTCGCCCTCTAACCAATTCTTTTTAAGTTCATTTTAAAACTGTGTTGTAGCCGTCGCGTAAAATTTGTTCATCCCTAATTTTGCCCTCTTGCGGGGAACAGTAGGATACACGCTGAAAGGTCAAAATGAAATTAGCATTTTCTTTTGGACACCTATGTAGATCCTCTTTTTCATTCCCTAATTAAAGAAAAGACATCCACGCAAAGGTGTCTGCATTAGTCCCGCTCACAGAACATGTGCATCAACCTGAAATATGCGTCAATTTAGTCATGCCCATGGTGGATAATTTTGGTCTCAGTTGCAAGCTCTTGTATACATTTGCGCTGTAGGTGGTATTATGAAGGTGCGTACAGGTAATACGGCCCAGATGGTGGAAATAAGTCGGGAAATCACAAAGAAGGAGAAAAATGAATAGAGACATACGGTTATTCCTTGGGTGTTTTTATTTATTTTTTCTTTTTTTCAAAGTAGTATCTTTTTTTCTGGCTCCACGTGGTGAACATTTCGCGCAAGCGTCGGAATGGGAAACAGTGCCACAGTGATGTTCATTTAAACGCTACACTGCTTCACCTAGGCGGTTTCTTACACATGCCCAGAGAGTAAATTTGTGCTCATCAAGAAGATGGCGAATTATGTGCACTACAGTGCTGCTCGCAGAAGTTATAGCCATTTGTTTAACTTGTCATGCTTTGCACCAAGGGTAGCATAACTGAGCCAGAACAGGGTATTTCCTTTTTGGTCATTTTTTGTAACTATAGGCTTATGGGGCGGATAACCTTTTCCATTTGGGTGTGTAATTCCTTTTTGGAATGTACGACGATGGCACGGCTTCTTCTTGGGGGATGAAAAAGGTGCTGCGCGTGGAAAATCATCCCCCTCATTCCACAGGTAACGTGCCTCTTAAAAAAGTGCACGTTCGTTTTAGTGGTGGTATATTTTTGCTTATGTGTACAGACATGTGTGCATTATCCTGTCTCTACCATTTGGTCTCTTCCATTTTTTACAATTAAAAGGTGTGCTTTATATTTGCTACTCCTTTTTTACCAATACTTATAAAAAAATAAAGGAACGGTGGTCTTGGCTGGGGAGTGATATGGCTTTTCGTGTAATCCTTTAAAATATTACTCCCTCATAAAATGACGTCAGGCGAAAATGAACAAAATGTACAAAGGAGCAAATGTGCTATAATATATACATAGTGCACATACGAATGGGGAAACACAGCGCACATTGCGCATAAGCCCACGCAAAATGCGCTCGAAACTTTAAATTATTTACACATATATACATACGCCTTTATGTCGTGAAGGTTACTCGACCAGCAGCGCGTCCTAATTTCTCTCCCTATACCTAGGTGTTCCTGCGCCGCTGAAGTGGAGGCCGTTTTGTGGAATTTGGTTACGACCACATACGTTGAGGAATTCGTAAGACAAATAGACAGTATAAAAGTGTAATTTCTTTACATAAAATGCACATTAAATTTGGGCACTAGAAAAATACCAGAAATAATAAAATTTTTTGTAGAGGACATTTTTTCAAGTATACACACACACACACAAAAAAAAAAAAAAAAAATTCTTTTGATCGATAATTATGTAATATGGTACGTTCAAAATGTGCGTGTGCCTACAGTGCGTCATTTCACGTTTGAATGTCCGTATGACGTAAAAAAAACGTGAGTCTGGCAATTTTGGCCCTTTTAGCAATTAATAGACGTAAGTCATAACATTCGTAGTTAACGAGTTTTTGCTGTCAACTGGCTTCACGTGAAGTAGGTGAAGGGATGCAAAATAACTGCGCCTTCATATATTAAGTAGTAGAATGCTATTTAAAACAAAAAAAGAAAAAAAAAAAAGGCAATTATAACAGCAAACTAGTAACAGCAGCAGTAAGGAGTAGTAATACATATGTTGAGCTTAACCCCCTGAGAAGTGCCTGCCCAAGCATTTGAAACGAAGTCGTGAAGAACAAAATTAGAGGGGGGACATGAAAATGTACACAAAGGGGTAAACAAACGAATAAAAGCAAAAGAGCGTGCACACAGGCAGGACCTATATATGCATAAGTGTACCAAATACACATATATACATATTGTACACTCATGTACGCGAAAAAAAAAAAAAAAAATGAAAAATAAAATGCTGTTTTTTCTTTCTTATTCGTGTGACCTTTTCCCCTCACATAGTTACTACACCTAAGTTTTTTTTTCCTTTTTGTTTTTTTTTTTTTGGGTTTTGTTTAATAAAAATGTGCTTTTACTTTTGCTTATAAAATTATTATCATGCCATGTTGCTCCATTTAGTTATGTTAATG